GGGGGGGTTGGGGGCAAGGGGGCCGTACGGTCGTCTGGGAGAGATAAAGGCTCTGCCTGATCTTCCTGCTTACTTATGCGGTAGAGTTCAGTGCAGGCCAAGCACAAGTATGTACACACACACACACACACACACACACATGCATACAGAGATACACACACAAACCCACACACACACACACAAACCCACACATGCATATAGAGACACGCACACACACACACAAACCCACACATGCATATAGAGACACACACACACACACACACAAACAAACCCACACATGCATATAGAGATACACACACAAACCCACACACACACACACAAACCCACACATGCATACAGAGATACACACACAAACCCACACACACACACACACACACACACACACACACACACACAGAGACACACACAGTCACCTGGCAACTGAGAAACACAAAAAAACAACCAGACGCTGGATTTCCAGGCTCCAGTCAAACCTCGCTTTGACAAACATAAAGCCGTGAGAAGAAGCGTCTGGGATCTGAAGCACTTAGGGTGACCTTAGGGTGAACAGCACACACACACACAGATGTTTGTATTAATTTCTTTGTGGGGACCATCCATTCATTTCTATGGACATAACCCTAATCCCAACAATGATGACCTTAACCATTACCCAGCCCTAAATTTAACCATGAGTAACCAAACAAAGTACATGACGTTTGGCATTTTTAGTTTTTTGACTGGAGTCACAGATTTTTATAAAATTGAGGTTATCCTTGTTGGGACCAAAAAACATCCCCGCAACGTGCAAATAACAGCTTTTTATCACATTGTGGGGGGAAATCTGGCCCCCACATTGTAATAATTACAAAAACACACATGCGCACACACAAACACACACAGACACCTATATTCCTTCCAGCCCAGGGCTCTGGGTTCAGCAGTAAAGTAAAACCAGATGTTTTTACCTACCGCGTCCCTCCTCCCACGCCCCCTAATGCTCCCACGTTCCTCCCACACCTCTTAACTTCCTTCTCATGTGTCACCACTAAAAGTCCCCATTCCTGTCACCGTCTCAGACATGTCACCATCCCGCGCTTCCCTCTCACCTCTTTATATTTTACAAGTCTGTCTTACTTTCCACACCCTACAATTCTGCAGTGCAGATGCTGTGCATCTTCAGTTAATATGCTGCATTTGTGCCAGAAGCCAATAGAATGAATGTCACCTCATCAACCACACAACTGAATATATAAAATATTTTTAAAAATGTCACGAGAACTGAGGCTAGACCCTTCCAATGCCTCGTGGGTAAATGATTGTTACACCCGTACAAAAGGGCAAGTTTGGACCAATCACGACGTGGCATACGGGGTTCATCAGGCCTCCCCCCCCCCCCATGCCCTGAGACGTGGACCAGCCCTCAACTTCTGCATTCGCCTCAATTCCCTTTACTGTCACTGATCCACCTCATCAGCTTAACGTCATCTTACTGTGCCACACACACACACACACACACACACACACACACACACACACACACACACACACACACAGAAACAAAAGACTAAGGCCTGCACCAGAACACCCCCCAGGTTATAAGGCCACTTCTGTTTCCCAGAGGGTTTTTCTTTAGCCCCACCCCCCACCCCCACCCCCGGGTCACAGTGGATCGGTCCATAGTAAACTGTACGCATACCCGCTTGTTATGCGTTGTGTACACCTGAACACGCCCTCGTGACTCCATGTGTTGAGAACGTGCTGTGGGTGACAGGATGTTTTGGAAACACCAGGAGAACCTGGTCACACTCCCTCATAAAACATGCCCAGAATTCAGACCCGTCTCCCAAGAATCCGTAGCCAGAAAGGCCTTTAAAGAGCAGTGGCATGACAGCACTGGATTGGCCTTCCTGCTACTCCGACTTCACCAGTACTAGACTTCTTCCTGTTATGAAATGAGCGGCTATCGCCACCTACTGATTGGAGAGAGCTGAGCGAGTTGAGGCAGGTCCTTGAAACAAGGCTTCTTGGCACATTGGGGTGTCACACCCTTCCACATGGCCCGTGGCCTCATCCTGGGGGTAGAGTGTGTCAGCCCCCCACTCAGCCCCCCACTACCAAACCTCCCTCACATCCTCCTCGTTCCAGTGCAGGGGTGTGCTGCTCTTCCCCTCTCCCTTTCTTCCTGTCTCCACACCCACGGCTTCCTGCCCCTCCGCTTCCGGCGAGCTGAGTCAGCCTGTCAGGCTGGCGCGGTGCCGATTGCGGCCCGGCGGCCAAGACCGTCACCGGGCAGGCGACCGGCCCGAGGCCCGGCAGCTCACGGCGTCTCCAGGAAGCAGAGACGGGTCACGCGGAGACCGGTGGCCGGGGGCCTCGGCGGAGCTACAGAGGCACCGTGTGAGGAGTCGGGAGGCAGACTTGAAGGCCGGCATGAAGTCATCCTGATGGAGTCATCGCATTCCATCCATAGTGCTGTCCACAGTAACACTCACAAATTCATGTTCACGTGCGGTACTTAAATGGGGGGGCTTAACACCACAGAAAGGCCAACCCCCCCCCAAAAAAACACACCTATTAATACACCTGTAGGTCAGTAACACTCGTGCAGAGGCCTGCCCCCTGAGACACCCAAACCTCTGACGCCATACGGGTCTTTCAGCCCAGCGCTGTGCTGACTGATGCTCATCTCTACTCCTTCTCCGACTCCCTTATTCCCAGACTCTGAGTGACAGACCATTACTGCCACCTATCTGTTGCGTGGAGCCCTACAAGCTCCGGCGGTTCACACGCTGAGAACATTCAGTGCGGTGAGGTACAGGGAACTCAGTACTCAGTGAGTACGCTGCCGCCCCATGGCCAATGTTTGATGTCATCAACCGTCTGTCTCAGACATGGCCTTTAGCTCACGGAGCCACGGGAGGGACTAACAGAACAAGGTGCCAGAGACAAAATGTACCACAGCATCATATGACACTGTGCTTTTGCCAGCCCAAACAAGGTCCACTTCCTGTCCTCGTCTCATTCTCATGCACAGAGAAGGCAGGTGGGACTCCATAAGCCGAACATGGGCCGGCACCCGGTCATGTGATGCTGCAGCTGTTCCTCCTTCTCCTTATACACCCCCTCTGTCTTTTCTATTCCCGGTTCAAAGACATGGCTGCGTTCCAGAACGGCAACATAAAGCCACAAGAATGAGACAGAATGAGCTGTACACATTTCTCAGTCTCGGTCGATTCAAGCGAGTGCCGTTCTTTGATACGCACAGGCTCGTCTCGCACAGGCTCGTCTCGCACAGGCTCGTCTCGCGTCACGTCAGGCGGGACAGCTAATGCTTTTTTTTTTATTGATGATATTTCAAAATGAGCAGGGGGGCGGCTGACGAACGAGACCCAGAGTCAAACACCCGTGGGATCTCTGATCTGCCTGCACACAGGACGCCATCATGCCTGTGAGTCAGAATGACTGGGCTGCTCGCCCCCGGGACGCCCTTGGCGCACATTCAACGCACAAACACAAAGCTCCGGATTTGCATAGCACTTTCTCATTAGCTGGAGGGATCGGCAGCACCGACCAAAATCACTAAATTAAGTTATGGCCAGTCAGGGATCACCGAAGAGCTAAATTAAACACTTGCATAATATCCTATTTAAACGCCAGACCAGGAAATTAATACGGATAGGAAAAAGCCTAACACAGTGATGGCGTCATCCTAAAAGAGTGCAGGAAACTTCCCTCTAGGCGCGTCCTTCCATTAGTGGGGGATATAGTTGGTTTAGGAGGCGTGGTCTTGGAGCATATGAGACACACACAGGGGAACAAACGAACAAGGATCAGCATCTGCGTCAAGCTGCAGCCTCCCTCACGAACTGTGTCGGCTGTGATAAGGCAGGCTTTGTCACTCAGGCTGCCCAATAACCCCTGTCAAGGAATATCAATTTCCAGCCTCCAAACCCCCCCCCCCCCCGACCCCCCCAAAGCACATTCCTCCTTACCTCTACGCTGCACTGGACTCCAAAAACACAAAACCTGAAATGGAAAACACTAAATCAAGAGCTTCTCTTACATTACAAAAAGTTACTGTCCTGTCCAAATATCTCTCATGGTAATTTACAAATGAAGATAGAACGACCTGTCTTGCTGCTTATAATTTGTTTTGGTTTGTTTACATCTTCACCACTGGATTCTAAAAATTCTCCAAGAAGCCTATCCTTTCAGATTTCGGTCGTCCCCCAGATGCCAAATAGTCACCCGAAAGCTGCTTCTGACCGATTTTATAACATTTATCCTCATTTACTAGCCCTCATGCCACCCTTATGCCAATCGTTGTGCTTCTCGCCTACATTCTGAGTCTTTCCTTGCAGTACTGGTTATGCTGACTGACCCTTATATTAAAACACTCCTTCCAGGTGCCATTTCCTCATCGCCAAAGACGGCTACGGCGCGGACAGAAGCTGCCTCTATTCTGCTGTTCGCATCCCGGTTCTCTGGCTGCTTCTGCCTGCTTCTGCCTGCTCACCGCTCACCCTGCATACGGCACTAAGCTGCTGATCATTATTTGTGCACCGTCACCCTACGTCAGCAACACGCATCAGGCCTAATTAACATGACGTTTTCTCTGACCTTCACACAGCACAGTAGGAAAGAAGACCTATAAATACCGTATCGCTGACTTCTATCTGAATTCTCTGCAAACCAATAGCACAAAATCAGCTTGGATTGTATGTGTTCTGTCTTCTGATGGTCCAAGCCTTATGTTTCATAAATGTTCCTCTGTGACCAATTGGCATTACTAGCAATGACGGTGCATCCAAACACAGAGAACAACTAACCTTTGCTCGTGCTGAATGGATCCATCCTTTGCCAGTTTTAGTCTCCTTAAAACATGCCCCCAGGAAACCTCCGCATGCTCCTGCTGGGCTGCGCTGGCACACGCTGGTTTCTTCATACCTTGAGTCCAGGGAAAGCTTCCTCTTTGAACGGACATATCAGGTGATAGCTGGCGGTGACGCATGTGGTGACGGTCTGGGTACCTCCCAAAGGGCTGAAGTCTCCCAAAGAACCCACAGCCTTGAGATTTCAAGGAGCTTTTTTGGTGCCCCCCTGTAAAATTGAGAAAAAAAATTAAACATTCAGTAGAAACTAAACTAAATAATTTATTTGTTTTGGTTAAATTCACAAGCAAGCGAGTGCTTGGTTGTTTGCTTGCACCTTGTACAGGTTGGAACCAGGTGCACACAATTCACACCAGTGTAGAGTACACTGGAGAGTAATGTTTCAACGAACAGAATGCCTGAGACCGCACGGAGGGTAAATAACTATTTGGTCGAGCATTTTGCTGCAGCTAACAATGGGAGAAAAGTCACTTTGCACCTGCTGCGCCACACAAAATATTAATTCAACAAATACCTATTTGAACACTATATTTGTCACTGTGGCTATTTTCTCTCAGTCTTTAAATAAGCAGATATTAAACACAGAACATTCCAGAACGTTCAGAGGACTCAGCGGAACGGAAACTCCTTCACTTCAAGGACCCCAAAATTTCGAACGTGCACGTGTCGCCCTCTAGTGGTCACTTAGCGTTGGAGCGCTGATCACTTCCACACAAGCGGTACTTCAGATTTGAGAAATATTTTTTGGTATTATAGTCAGTTACACAGCATATAAAGGAATAAAATAACAGATTCAGCTACATATAAAATAATGACAAAAATTCTCTAACTGCGATACTGATATTTTATTATAATTTAAAATATCTCAAACATTTCGCTCCTTTGACAGACCTGAACTGTAATCAAATTCTCAACAATGTTTGCCCTTGGTGCCTTCTTTGTAAACGAAAACTGAGTTACCTTAGTCATACCGAGTGCAGCAAGAATTTAAATGGGGAACCAAACACTTTAGCCACATATAACTATCTGGCTCTTAGTTTCAGCAAGTCTGAAACTTTCAACGTGGGTGTTACAATCATTTCCAGCATTTAGGTTTCAGTGTTAGCTCGTAAGCGAAAGTATCGTACAGTAAATTTACTTCTGATTTCCTCCACGGTAGGATTCACGTTTAACTGCAAGATAATCGGGGCTGGGGCTCTCGAATCAGCGCGCCGATGCGCCCCCCGGTGGCAGTCTTGCGGTACTGCGCGTAAAAAGGGAGGAGGAAAGGGGGCGGGACGCAAAGAGGGGAAAGAGTAAGAAAAAAATAACAGAAAAAAAAATCAAACGTTCTTCCTGGAAATTCGACTAACCCGCCACAACTCCACCACATGACATTTCTGAAAATGCGACACTCCTTTTCAATTACCAGAAGGCCCAACTTCATTCAGCAAACGAAGGCGCCTAACAATGATCAGTTAAGCTGCGATAAACATAACACGTTTGCGCTAAAACAGCCGCGGTAAATAAAAAAAAATGCGTTTAAACAAAGTGATCGTGAATATTCTGTATTGTAGCGAAGGAGGAGAACGTGGGCATTCCCGTAGAACGCTATGGATTGCAACGTAACTCCTACCCCCTTTCCCGTAAAGCAGCAGCGTTAAAATGAGATCATCATAAAACCGTTTCAAGAAAAAGGCAAAGAAAACGCAGCGCAGTGATCATTGTGCATTCATAGAAATGATTTGTGTAGGTGATTTTCGTTATTATTAGTCGGGGTTTTTTTTAGTTTCGAAATAACTTAGTAGGAATTTCACGAGTAAACCTAGGTTGCGTGGGAGACTGTTAGCTGCTTTCTTTAATTAAAAAGAGCTTATGCACGCATCTCCAATGACAGGGGAATCAATGGATACACGAGCCCAGAACGTATTGCTAGCATCAAAGCTTATACAGATCGCTCGCGAAATAGCTATTTCTCCTGCGACTAAATAGCCATTATAACAGCATTACATGAAAGTTCAGAAGTATATAAAGTCACGGGCAGCTGGCTTACCTGGTGCTGACCGCCGATATCTGCTGGGAGGTGCCATGGTCAGCGTAAATGTTGCATATGGGCAGGGGATTAAAATAATTCCGTGTGTTGTGTTTTCCTCATGACTGACATTTGTGCAGTAACGCATCTTTAAAATGCATCCACGTTAAATATGAATCGTGCACCTAAATGTGTATGTAATTTCATATTGTCTTCATGGACCCGCGCTGTACACGCAGACATGTATTATGAAACCGAAGCATAGATGAGCACGTTTATGCACACATATCATGCGTACCGCACAGCGATGGATCTTAACCCAGATACCACAAAGCGTAACGTACTATTTGGCTTCATTGGTCTTCGAGTATCAATTCTTCTATTACAACGTTGCCCGCATGATCACGCAAATCTTTTAAAAAACACATCGATACGGTTCGTTAAAAATCGCTAGTCCGTGCCTACGCGACACCAGATGACAGCAGCTGCCTGCATATCCATCCTGCATCGGGCGAGCCCGCGCCGGAAAGCGCCGCTGCATTTGGAGAGGAAACCGGGATCAAAGAAGTGCAGATTTGAAATTGCGCAGTTTTTATTCCATTGCAAGGCAGCCACACTGCTCTGCTCGCTAGCGCTCTCTCGGTCTGCTTTCTCTCCTCCTCCTCTCTCGCTCCCTCCCTCTCTCGCTCCCTCCCTCTCTCGCTCCCTCCCTCCCTCTCTCGGTCGCTCTGGTAGGTTCTCTCCGTCTCTTACAGGTTTATTTTCACTAGAGGACTCTTTGGTCAAACGTGCCCCGCCTCCATCTTCTCTGGCAAACAGATATAGTATGATTGACATTCTTCTCTTTTAATGTATTCTTGGGAGAACAATCCAAACCCAAAGTATGGTGTATAACTTGTTGAGGGTTTTTTTTTGTCTTGCTTAATGGATATGTCGATCATTTTAGAATGAGAAGGTCCTGCGCCTTGAACATTTCCATTAAAAATGTGACCACTGTAGATCAGGCTACCAGGAGGCTAAAATATTCAGTATTTTCTTAAGTACTGTCTTCAGCAGCATCAAGCTACTACAGCAGTTTAAGGGAGTCAGCAGATGGTAAATGTGTTGGCAACTGAGTCCTTCAAGAAATACATATTTTCCAGACAATAGGTAATAAACCTAAGAAATTATTCAATTTTTAAAATGAAACTGGAAAACTAGAAGTGGAATTATTATAAAAGAGAAGCAATTTCGTTGCAAATAATTGAACCAATTTTGTCTGTTCCAAGCCTGGAACATCTTGTGTCTTAAGTCTATTTAAATTTAAATTGGACAGGTTGCTATGAGCTCTCCAGCAACACCAGCACAGCAACCCAGACCTTTTCCGGATAAAGAGGCCCTTAAACTCTGCTGGTCCCTTTCATTCAGGAGACAATCTGCTGAATACAGCTTTGAACTGGGCCCACCTCCTTCGCTCCGTGCACCTCTTCCATTTCCATTACATTTCCTCCACTTAGGAGTTGGCTGGAATCGCCATCGCGTGGCTCACATGGACTGCTGGTCGTCCCGGCCGCTCTTCTGGACGGCGCCAGACAGGATTCTGACCATCGGAGATGTTTCTGCAGAAGAGAGCCGTACCTGTGCGTCTGGGATGGCTGTGGGATGACGCCATGTGTTCGGTGGTTGGCGACACTTAAGGGGTTAGCCAGCGTGGCCTCAGTAATCTGAGAGGCTGACTGCAGCTGGAACTGTGTGTGCTTTACAGATAAATGTAAAAACGGGAAGGACAGCTCCTATTTCAGACATGCTCTTAGCTAGCAATACTGATGATGACAAAAACACAAGAGAAAATGAAACAGAATACAAAACAAAGCAGTATGTGTGTATGTGTGTGTGTATTTTTGTAATTACCACATTGTGGGGACCAGATTTCCCCAACATGATAAAAACTTTTTACCTTATGGGGGAGATTCTTCAGTCCCTATAATAATAACCTCAGTTTGATAATCTGTGAGTGCAATGAAAAAACTAAAAATGCCATAAGTCTTGTATTTTGTTTGGTTACTTACAGTTAAGGTTAGGGCTGGGTAGGGGTTAAGGTCGTCATAGATGGAATAAGGGTTTCACCCATAGAAATAAATGGAGAGTCCTCACAAAGATAGGAATATGTGGACTCTGTGTGTGTGTGTGTGTGTGTGTGACTGTGTGTGCGTGCATGTGAGTGTGTTCGGAAACAGTGCTGTAAGCTTGTACTGCATTACTGAGTGGATCTGAAGGATTCCCCCTCTAGCTGTAAGTTTGGGGGGGGGGTAGGGTTGAGGGAGACAGGATTTATAAAGGATGTGTAGAGGGGGTGGGCTTACTGGAGGAGAAGAACAGGAGACTTACAGTAAAAAGGGAGCGAGGAGGCGAAGATGGAGGCGGTGGGATGGTAAAAGCATCAGGGCAGGAAGCAGAAGCGTGAAACATTGGGATGTTGATGAAACTGTTCCTCCATTAGATTTATTCACAGTTTGCTTGTCACTGTGTACATGTCCATACATTAAAATACCTCAGAACGTCAAACCTCAAAGCATTTCTTAAGACATTTCAATATGACTACAGGTTTGTATGCCATGACATCCAAAGATCTATGTAGAACTTTACCAACTAACTAACTAGCAACTCTTTTTAACTTTGAACATGACTAAGACTGTCCTGGCTGTGTGTGTATGTGTGTGTTGGTACAGGCTTTGTGACTGTCCTGGCTGTGTGTGTATATGTGTGTGTGTTGGTACAGGCTTTGTGATGCCCTGGCTCTGTCTGTAACAGTAACACTGTGTGCTCCTTAGCTGTCCAGGC